CGGGCCACCACCGTTCGAGCTCCGTTTCGCCGATGCATCCCGTATCGGTGCTCTATCAATATGAAACACAAACAGTCGGGGGTGGAGGGAGGGGAGAGGCTCGCCCCAGCCCACCTCCGCCGCTATCGGTCACCAAGGAAACCAAAAGCACTCGTCCTTTTGCTCCCATCGCCATCGCCCCTCCGCCCGAATTCTCGCGAGAAGGAGAGTTCTCCGTGCTGGGGCGACCCGGCTGGACGATGGTGCGCGTTAACGTGGACGTGCGAGATACAGGGACGAGCGTTAAACGGCTATGAAATCGCGCGTCCCTGCTTCCCCGATCTCTAGTCGTGCGACTCCATACGCGCCGTTACACTTTACTGGCCATTGCACTTTTCGTTAAATTATTCATTTAAAGGGCTCGTGTGTCGCCGTGTGCTACGGATGTGCGACGTTACTGATATTTCTGAAAATTTTTGATAATTTTATTACTAAAGCCTTAATTCATCGCTCCTGATTTATTGACGAATGTGCCCGGCGCTTCGATTATTACATCTACTCTTCTTCCTGTTCACACGCATACACACACGCGCGCAAGCATAAGCTATCCATAGATTACAAACTGTTTTAAATTTCCTTCCCAGTCTCGGAGCTCAGCATTCCAAGATTTTTACTCACCTCCGCTCAATAACAATAGTACCATAAAGGATAATTATTCACAATTTAAGCAAATTTGGCTATATAAATTTAATAAAGCTCCCCTCTTAACGTAAAATAATAGCAATGCACGTAAGCCTGCGTACGTCCATTTAAATTTAAGTTACGAAATAAAGTTATCCGCGTTAAAGTCTTTATAACATACTCTACAAACTCGTAGTACAACTTTGCCTACATAATTACATCTAAATCATTAAATAAATATCAAGGCGAAATTTAAATAAAAGACATATATGCTATTAAAATATAAATAATTCGTGCCCACGCACAGGCAGTGTTTGTCTATTTATTCGTTAAAAAGAAAAAATTTTATTTAGCCATATATAAGAAAGGAAAAAATTCGTTACCTTAGCCATTTACATTAATGAAAACATAAAAAGGTCCAGCGATATAGAAATAAAAATTTTTGTTTTAAAAATTTTTCTTCTTCAAAATCTTTTCTTCGATATTTAAATTTCCAAGTCCCATTATATTTCTTTTTTTTTTTTTTTTTCCATTAACATGAAAAAAGAAAACATAATGAATATCACGACATTGCCGTAATTACAAAATCTACTATAAATGTCAACTCGTTAAATATAAATATATCGTCTTAATTATTAAGAAAATTGGCCGATAATCAAGTAACAATTGATCAATAAGTAGAATAGCGAACGAATATATCTCATATTGTAATAGACACCGTGAAATAAACGTAAACCGTAAATTATCCATAAAATAGGATAAAAATTAGTATTTGCATCTTCGCGAGAAACTGCACTTTCGCTAAGTGTGTGTCGAGAGTAAAATGCGAGAGTGCATTTTAACAAGCGAATAATGTAAGGGAGAAATGGGTGGGTTATCATGACTGATTTGAGTAACAGGCGAGAACATTTTTCATAAATACTTAACAGCTTTTCTTTTAGCCTTAATAGTTTTCAGAGCTTTAGGTGGCGATTTTATGCTACGCGAGGTAAAACTGCCTATTGTTTACGAAAAATGGATGGTTAGTTCATTAAAACACTATTAATTAATTTAATGAGTTTAAAACTATCGATTTCAATACATTTATTTAACAATTACCCTATATACATACATTTATAAAGTTGTATAATAATGAAATTCGTTTAATTTTATAGAGATTAAGATTATCATACGTAAATAAATACGTAAACAGGGAATTGAATTGAAAAAAAAAATATCGAATATGAATAGAAATAATTCATAGAGAAACTTATCCGACAAAACAGTTTTAATCGAGAAACACCGTCTTTTTTTTTTTTTTTTTATCCATAATCTCTACTAATTTATTCAGTATGATAATAGCTTTAAGTAGATAAGCAGACGTTTAAATAACGGCAAACTAACGTTCCCTTCCCAGATATTCAATATCTTAATCCAATTTTATTGCGGTTTATTCGGGCTCCCGTTATTTTTCTCGATCATAGATTATCGTACGACGCGCTAACAAATACTCTGTTAATATTTTATTAATGATGGTCATGTCGCGGATCGATGGTGTTAAGGGAGTGTCGTCAAGACCATTTGGACTACTCCAGTGAGAGTCAATGAGAATTGCGATTGGTTATAAAGGACTCGGCGTCAAAAGAGACGCCAGATGCGCAATGTCCCTCTCGCTCGTAGCCAAGTACATATAAAACACTCGAGGAAAAGCCATCGAAAGACGAAAGATGGAAAGAGAATGCATTTTGATGCAGCCGTACTTGACGTGAATGACGAAGTAGGTAAGATATCAAGAGCGTAAGGTACATTTCGCACTTACGTCTCACTAATTACCAGATGCAATCGATGCTTTCTACCTTTTCTGCCGAGTCTTACCCGCCATGGCAGCCCGATGATTTACACGAATTACCGGGCGGCCTGGAATTCGATTACTATAAGGGAGGGCAAGAGATAACGTGGAATTATGCGCCAATGTAATTCCAGGGCTGATTTTATTATCGAGATTAACGTTAATGTCGGGTCGTGGCGGCTAGAGGGACGCTATATCAAGTGCGGGTATAGGCGGCCGACCGAGTGAGTTTGCCGATTGTATTTCGAATTAGGGAGGACCGTAAGTTTGAATTAGAGATAAGTTTGTTAAGTGCTAGTAAGTGTGACGTTTCGTGTAATTAGATACTGGCGTGTTTAATGGCATTGTAATTGATTTGCGTTGGTGGAATCGATTAGAAATGCGTTTCGGTTCGTTATACTTCTTACGGTTGGTTGTCCATGCTGTCATTATTCTGTCAGCGTTCATTCGCTGCATTGGAAAGCTGCAAATGTCAATGATTAGTCAATGATTCTTCGGAAAGTTAAAGTCCAGATTCGCGAGTTAAACACCAATGATGCCTAAGGCTTAAAGAAACAAAATAAATAAAAAGATTTTTCTCCACTAAAAAGAAACTTCGTAATAAACTCGGTTATAAAACTATGTATCATCTGTATAAATCCTAAAGATTAATTATCTTTTATACAAATAATTCATTTTTATAATGTTATTTCCTCTTCTTTTTTTTGTTACCTGGTGTTATCGAATTATACGTAAAGTATATAAATGCGAATGAATGTAATGGATTTTATTTGACCAGTCGCTCTATGGTCATTAAGTTCAAGTAAGTAGTATAAAACCTATTGTTGACAATTATTTTAACAAAAAAAAAAAAAAAATAATAAACAAAAACCAACAAAAAATTACGATCGAAACTAATATTTGAAAATTTGTAATGATAAATTCTTAGGATATGATTAGGAGTAGCTTCTATTACGTTCATATCTATAATGAAAAATAAAATAATAATAATAATAATAATAATAATAAGAAGAAGAAGAAGAAGAAGAAGTAGAAGAAGTAGAAGAAGTAGAAGAAGAAGAAGTAGAAGAAGAAGAAGAAGAAGAAAAGAAAACGAAAATACGTGAAAATTGTTGCATTTATATCCCATCAAAGTAATATTGTACATTTAACGGAATCTTCCAGGATCG